TACGATACTCTACTTCTGTTCTAATACGAATCCATATCTATACATATGCCTATACATATATATAAAATATCTGTTAAGTAGAATATATTTTTTACGAGTAATTTATTAATGGGGGGTAATTTTATATTTTGGTTAAAAATTAATTATTAAAAATAAAATAATATTATTCATTAAAAACTATATGGTGCTTATAGGTCGACCATACAGAGTTATAGCAGTGGGATATTCAAGTAACGACGTCGTTTATGGCTTCCGCAGAATTAAGCCGAAGCTTCAGCTGCCACCTTTCTTATTCTCGGCAGAAGTACTGATCTGCACAAGCTACGGACCAACCTCACCGCCAACCGAGTCGTATGCGCGAGAAGCAGCAGACCCGTTAAACCACACCAAAGCACGATCGCCAACCCTAACATGCTGTTAATCGAATTCGACTGCTTCATCGGCGTAAACACACTGATTGATATCGAATAAGTGAAAGCCATGGAGGTTATAGCCACCCACATGATTGCCATTAACACCCACGTGAAGAACCTCCGTTTCAATGCCGGCAACCCACTTACCAGCAGTAGAATAATACTCAGAGAAGCCATGAAGCTAACTGTGTTCAGTGCCATGAACCGGCCGTAGACCGAATAATTGTATGCCATTATTGAGAAACCCGCCATGTGATCAGGGGAAGTGTCTTGCCAGACGCCACCGGGAGGGTTGACCCCCACTTGGAAAGCCATGGTGGCGATGAGGGAGGCGACCACCATTAGTGCGCTCTGTTTTTTCTCGAGCCAATCCGGTTGACGGCCATCACGTCGAAAAGTCTTGAGGAGTTTCTTGGTCTTCTTTTTCGAGTGAGAGGAGAAGGTGTAGAGGTCTTCGTCTGCCATGTCGATGGTGGAGCTTATGACTTCAGGCTCATCGTGCATGGAAAATGGAGGCTCGTAAGTTGCTCGTGTAGCAGCCCCGGCATGTTTGAGGGACTCTGCAATGTCTTTGTGTTTTGGGTTTCTTCTGGCTTGGACTAAAACGTCCAACGCGGTCAGGCCGTGTGCGTTGACCGCGTTGACGTCTACGTTGGTCTTTGAAATCAAGATGTTTATAGCCTGCATGATTTCATTTACTTATATATGATGAGTAAATATTACGTCATATTTACTTTAATGAAAAAAATAATTTAAATATTTAATTAAATTAAATATAAGATGTTTATATTTATTGCTACATATAATAAGAAAATTCATATATTCATATAATAAAAAAAACTATACTTACAAAAATACAATTTAATTCAAATCTATACTTGCAAAAAAAAACGTACCTCAGTTTCAATATGAGCCGCTGCGAGGTGCAATGCTGTGTTGCCATGAACACATTCCTTAACATTCACAAACTCACCATCAACGATCTCCACCACCACCTTCATCGCATCCATCTGCCCATATCTCACGCACGCGTGCAAAATGGTCTCCCCTCGGTCTAGCAAGACTCGAGCCGCATCCGGTCTAGCCGTTGCCAACTCTCGCACGACGCCCCCGTGGCCTTTCATGGCCGCAACGTGCAGAGGCGTTCTCCCATCTCCATCGCGCACCAGGCAAATTTCAGAGCCGGCGGCGATCAGAAGAATCTTCACTACGTCAAGATTGCCGCGAGCGGCGGCCAAGTGAAGTGGCGTTGACCTTCGTATGTCGAGCTCCGTTGCGAGCTCTGGCTTCCGGTTGACAAGCTCGGTGACGAACTGAACGTGTCCTAACATGGAAGCTATGTGGAGAGGGGTTTCGGTGTGGCAGGTGACCATGAAGCTGTCGAGAGCTAAAGGGTCTTCTTGGAGGAGATTCACCAAGGAGATGACATTGCCTTCCATGGCTGCTTCGTAGAGTCTCCTCTCCATTTTTTTTTTCTCTATCTCGTCCTGCTGGGTATCTTCTTTAAGGTGAAGAAATTACCAGTACAAGAAGACTTAGCTAATTGATCAGTTCAATTATAGAAAGAAAGGAGTAAGGTAGGGTTCAAAAGAAAAATCCAAGAAAGTGCCCACCACGACCCTAAAGCAAAGACTTATAAGGTCTCCCCCACCCCGCAATTTAATTTCTTTTAACACGAGCTAAAATTTTAACTGAAGTTTGAAAAGGATTTTGTGTATATTCATATATATAAATATATATATATTAAAGCAGAAAAAATACTTTTGGAAGTTTTTTGTAAGTATACGTTATAGATATTTTTTATTTATTTCAGATATTTCTTAATTTTTGAGTTCATATTTTGTATGCAAATTTTGAGTTTAAGTAAGCATGTGTCCCAGATCACTATATAGAGATATATATATATATATATATATATAGCACATCAGATATGCAACATTGCTGAAAGGTCTAACCACACAGATCATGTACCTGAAACTTATTGACAAAGCCCTGTAAATAAGAAAACACTAATCACTCTTCCCAGAAACAGAGAAAATATATAATTTATACGCTACTATAAGCAGTAGGTCTATCGATATTCAAGCAACGACGTCGTTTATGGCTTCCGCAGAACTAAGCCGAAAAGCTTTAGCTGGTACCTTTCTTCTTCGCGGCAGAAATACTCTGTACAAGCCACTGAACAACCTCGCCAGCAACCGAATTGTATGCCCGATAAGCAGCAGAGTCATCAACCCGCACCAAGCCACCACCGCCCACCCCAACACCTTGTAAAGCGTAATTGACTGCTCCGCCGGCGTAAACACGGTGATTGAAATCGCATACGTGATCGCTATGGAGGTTATCGCCACCCACATGATCACCATCAGCACCCACATGAAGAACCTCCGCTTCACCGCCGGCAACCCACTTACTAGCAGTAGGATAATGCTGAGAGAAGCCACGAAGCTGATCGTGTTCAGTGCCAGGAACCAGCCGTAGACGACGTAGTGATACTCGGCCATTATTGAGAAACCCGCCGTGTGCGGCTTCGTCTTAGAATCGCCATCGGAAGTATCTTGCCAGACGCCGCCGGGAGGGTTGACTCCCGCCTGGAAAGCCATGGTGGCGATGAGGGAAGCGACCACCATTAATGCGCTCCGTTTTCTCTCGAGCCAATCCGGTTGGCGGCCGTGACTTCGGAAAGTCTTGAGGAGTTTCTTGGTCGTCTTTCTTTTTTGAGAGGAGAAGGTGTAGACGTCTTCGTCCGCCATGTCAATGGTGGAGCTAATGACTTCAGGCTCATCGTGCACGGAGAGTGGAGACTCATTAGTTGCACAGGTAACAGCTCCGGCATGTTTGAGGGACTCTGCAATATCTTTGTCTTTTCGGTTTCTTCTGGTTTGCACTAAAATGTCCAACGCCGTGAGGCCCTGTGCGTTGACCGCGTTGACGTCAATCGCAGTACCCGAAATCAAGAAGTTTATAGCCTGCATGGGATTTTATTTGACAAAAACGGTGCCGGATAAGAAACAAAATGTAAATTTGCTAGAACACTATATATATATATATATATATAAATTACTTGAAATATTTTCCCAAAAATATAAAAATACAAAGTCAAAATTTTATATTTAAATTAGCTTACGAATTGATGTGACAAGAAAATAAATCAAATAAAACACCCTTTATATAAAATTATTATTCCTTGCTTGTAAATTACTCAATGTAATATAATACCACAAGCTTAAAAAATTAGTACCCAAAAATTAATAATAATTATTTTTTGTATAACACTTTTTTTAACATAAGATTAAATATATTTATTAATCGTATCATATAAATTAAATAATTATAATATAATATATATATATATAAATACAATATGATTCGAATTCGTAAATTTTTATATAAATATATGTCGAACATGTAGAAAATGTAAATTATAAGTACATCCCATCTAGCCAATATTTTGATTTAGTTTGAAGGAGACTATCCCTTTCGTACATAATAACGTTTAATTTTCCGTAAATTACTTAATTATTATTCATAATATTTGTACTGACTAATCTCTCGTAGCTTAATTAAAAAACTATTACTTAATAATTAGGTATAAGTATGTATTATTCAACTTTATATTTATTCAAATTTGCTTATAAGACTTGAATATTTACTATTTATATCATATAAATTTTACTCAAATATCTTATTATATAATTTTTTAAAATAGTATTTGAAAAATTGAATTATTAATTATTATATAAAAATATTGAAAATTAGTAAACCTTAATAAATTATATCATATAATACCAATTAGTAATTAATTTAAAAAATTAATAGTCATTATTTAATTTTATTAATAATTTAATTAGAACACACCTCGGTTTGTCTATGAGCCACCGCGAGGTGCAACGCCGTGTTGCCACTGACCCGATCCTTAACATTCACGAACTCACCATCAACGACCTTCGCCACCACCTTCATCGCATCCACCTGTCCAAATCTCACGCACGCGTGCAAAATGGTCTCGCCACGGTCCAGCAAGACTCGAGCCGCGTCGGGTCTGGCCGCTGCCAACTCCCGCACGATACCCACGTGGCCTTTCACGGCGGCAACGTGCAGAGGCGTTCTCCCATCTCCGTCGGTCGCCAGACAAATTTCAGAGCCGGCGGCCGTCAGAAGTACCTTCGCTACGTCAAAATTGCCGCGAGCGGCGGCCAAGTGAAGCGGCGTTGACCTTCGTATGTCGGGCTCTGTTGCGAGCTCTGGCTTCCGGGCGACAAGCTCGGTGACGAACCGAACGTGTCCTAACATGGAAGCTATGTGGAGAGGGGTTTCAGTGTGGCAGGTGGCAAGGAGTCTGTCGAGAGCTAGAGGGTCTTCTTGGAGCAGATTCACCAAGGAGATGACGTTGCCTTCCATGGCTGCTTCGTGGAGTCTCCTCTCCATTTTTCTTCTCTCCGTCGATCAAAGATATTAATTCTATCAGCTAATACATATACAGAGAGCGAGAGGGGGAGACTCATAAGTTTTGTTTATATAAAATTAATTAACTTAATATTAATTAAGTAAAGATTAATTAATATAAACATCTCACTAAGTGCTTACTCTAAGACACTCAATCTTACCCTAGAAAAAACATGTCATATATAGTAACTATTGACAGCCAAATCCGAACAAATTTGGAAGGAAAATCAGAATTAACCATTCCAAATTTGCTTAAACCTTCCCTAATCCTAAATTAATTACTATCTAAATTTATTTATGTATATGTGTATAATTATCAAGAAAGAAAACAAAGCGGAAGGTAACAAGGAAAAGTGGGCCCCAGGAAAACTCGTCAAACACATTAGCCAATAACAACAAGACACGTGGCAGCGGGTTATTGACGACTGAAAAGCAAGAGAAGAAGAGAACCAAAAGTTATTCCAAAAGATTCCAAATTTCAATAAATGGAGGCCACAAGCGTGGCCGCCCCAGGCCCTTGCAAAGCCAATTACGTCTCTCTTCGTCTTCGTCTTCCCCGATCATTCAAAGAGCAAGGGTTTTGTTGGCCAGAGTTTTAGTTTCGTGCTTCCGTTGGAAAACACTTGACGCAGAGTAAGCAAATGGCCAGTATCGCACTAAGAGCAGAAAACTCTTGCTTTCTATCTCACTACTGCGCGAGCACACAGAGCTCCATCTTCTTCAACAAAAGCGTCGCTTCTCTCACGAAAAGCAATTCACATTTCCGTTATTCGAGGAACCGTTTGAAACTCGGGGTATCGTGTAGTATCAAGGAGAGAGAAAGCGAAAGAGTCAGCGAATTGCTCGGTAATGGACTTCTTGTGGAACGTCTCGAGCAAGCGGGTCCGTCCTTGGGTTCTGATTACGAGAAAGACAGTGGTTTAGAAGAAGTAGGTTTGGAAGGGAATTGGCCGCCATGGGAGAGGATTCCGGAGAGATATAAGCTTATTGGCACTACTTCCCTTGCGTTTGTTATTTGTAATATGGATAAGGTAGTTGATTTCTTATGTCCTCGTTTTCTCCTTCTCTTTGACAATTTCAAAAAACACGTTGTGTCCTCGCGACGATATATTGGTAGTCATCGTTGGACGTCTATGTTGAGGAAAGTGATTGTCTTGCGTTACTTTGAATGAGCAGGTGAACTTGAGTGTTGCTATAATTCCCATGTCACACCAGTTTGGATGGAATTCTTCGGTGGCTGGATTGGTGCAATCATCGTTCTTTTGGGGATATGCCCTAAGTCAGTTGCCTGGGGGATGGCTTGCTAAGATTTTTGGTGGAAGGTTAGTTTTTGAAGAAGCTTTTAACTTCATGATATACAATTTTTAAGGAAAAGAAGAAAAGCGGTGTAAGACAAATTAGGGGTAATTTGTAATTTGCTTATTTATGATTTGGGATAAAAAGCTATACATAACGTTTCTTAAAAATCACATATAAAAGCCTTAATCATCACACTTAATGATGGAGTTATAATCTAATCAGACAATCTACGGCTAATCCATTCTGCATCAGAATGTATGCTTCAAGCTTCAGAGCTGCCAAAAGGAGGATGATTGGTTAGATTGTTAGATGATACAATATGAATAATAAATTGATTATCCTTTTGAGACAAATTGCCCTGAAAGTTAAGCTTGGCCTACTCTAGTGTTGTTAGTTGACCAATAATCTACGCTGTTATCTTTTGTTGGTGCAGAAAAGTTCTGGAAATTGGAGTGTTAATCTGGTCATTGGCAACAGCCCTTGTTCCTGTTCTTGCTGGATTTATGCCTGGATTAATCTTGGCAAGGATTATGGTAGGCACGATTTCTTCCCACCTCATAATCTTTTGTTTATAATTTTTTGGTTTGACTTGGATAAGAATTTTTATTATTGAGAGGTAGTTTTGTTACAGTTTGTTG